TCTACATTTACAGACCCCACTGCCTCAAACTAAATCAATAATGAAACACAGCAGTCTCTCAAATACTGTCAAAGAGGTTAAACATCTATGTTCTAATCAACTATGTAGCAGAATATGAATTGTTATCCAATCATGTTCAGATTAACTGTAGTGGAAAAACACATTTAAAAAATCAAATGTCTTGAAAAGTGACTGAGATTTATAATGAAGCAAAGTGAATACTTCTAAAAATGCTTATTTATGAGTGGGATTTGAAAGAACAAAAAACACATCTGTTTTTGTAGACATCTTCAAACAGAAGTTTTTTCAGCACAGCTTATTTACTATACCTGAATGTTGTATCTCTATAGAAATGGCAAACCACGTTTTTACTTTCTTTGACTTCTTGGAAAAAGTCTCTCTCACTTGGGATTTCTCTGTATTCTCCATGTCCTTTTGAAAGCCACTCCTTGAAAAACATAAAAAGCAAATAATTAGTATGGAGGTTGTTAGTCTGTCTGTTGTGCAAACTCTAAAGCATTTAGAAAATGGAAGAGGGGGCCTGCAGGGAAAACCCATTTCATACAGTAGTGGAGAAACACATTACTTCCTCCCCTTTAGTTTTGTTTTAAAAATACACAGATAAGGCCACCTTACTTATTTGGAAATACAAATCTTGTACAGAGCTACATAAAATTCTGCAATGCAGCCTCTCAGTAAGACAAGAGTAGTTCAAAGAATACAACAAAAACTCTTGGCATTTGAAAATTTTTATGTACACTCAAAGAACTCGTCTAAACTTAGTCAAGTAATTACATGAATTAAATACATTTAAAAAATTTTTTTTTACTCTATGAAAAAAATCTGTGAGAGAAAAAGCCTACTAACTCATCTGCAATAAATGATGTTTACCTATCAAATATACACTGAAGGGATCTTAACATGAACCAGGCTCACAGAAAATCATGCAGAAAACACATGTGCACCATCAGTCATAACACTGATAGAGAAACAGAATGTCACAAGCTAAAATTTAGAGGTAACTTCAAAACCTGTCTGATTAAGTGCGTAAACACAGTTTCCAAAGAGCTAATCTTCCACATTTTCAACAAACACACTTAAAGGAAAAACCCCACAACCTCTACATTACTAAAAGGTAATTGCAGTGTATTTAAACAAGTACAGACTAATCTACATGATTAGAAGTAGTGCAGTATGACAAAAAGTGACAAAAACTTTAACTTTCCAGTGGGGGGAAACAATTTAGATAAATCACTGTTCTTAATCTTGCAGTTTTGTCTTAGGAAAGTGAAAGAAAAAAAAAGGTTTCCAAGCAAACCAAAGATATCCTGTAAGCTAAATTAGGATAGAACAAAGACTCTCCTGAATACTGTACACATTAAAAATTCATGGAAGTATGAGCATATGAAGAAGTCACCATGATGCAAATCAAGAACTCAGTTATCCCTCAACAGTGATTATGCATTAATTCCTCTCTCCACAGATTTACTGTGGAATAGTGTGACAGCACACTGCTTTCACTGAGCAGTATCCGACTCCACATTTGCACTTGAAAGTGTGTGAGAACAGTGACTTAAGCCCAAACACATGAAGAAGTTTTTGCATGAGACCAATCACATGTTCACATCCAAGGACATCTAAGTGTCATGACTTCTGAAAAAGGAGAATGCTAGAATCAAATATAAACTGAACTTCTGAAGACAAGTGAATAGCGTGCCACTTTCTCTACTTCTGTGTTTACAGAACCAAAGCTGCTGGTGCTGCCTGTCCTGCAGCATCCCAGCCATGCCATGACATTTCACTGCATTCCCATTTCAAAGTCTGGCACCAGCTTTTAAGGACTCCATCACAGCCAGGCATCTCCTTTCAGCCAAGCCACTTCTCCCCCACCACAATCAATTTCTTGTTTAGGTTAGCTCAGATGGAATAAGCTGAGAAACCTACAGCTTCCTTACTTGTAATTCAGGTCTCACACCATATGTTACCAAAATTATGGTGTAAGCTATTGCTCAAAAAGAGCTCTGAGGGAGCATAAAGACCTCGTTTGACATGAGGTGTCAGGTCCCAAGGGAGTATTTCCTTCTGTAGGAGGAAATGAGCAGTCACACAAAGCCAACACTTCATTGGCTCAAAAGGAGTCTGACAAATGATTCCAGCCTAGGAACAAGGAAAAACCCCATTTCACCCTTCTACAAAATACCTTAACAAGGGGGCACATATCACATGCAGTAAGTAAAAATCCACAAGCTTCAGACAAAGACACTTCAGAAAGAGCCTAAAGCCTTATGGTTAGGTTACCTACAGGACTTATGCTTCTAGATAGCAATGTTCAGTGAACAGGGACACACTCAAATCTCTGTATGAAACTCCTTATCCTATCCTTACTGTAACAACCACAGAGGTGCTTCTCTCCTTCTGTTAAAAAACACAAAGCATGCACACATGGACAGACACCTACTTTCCTGGATAATTTAAAATTAATAAACACAGAAGGGAGAGAAAGGGAAAAATCCACAAAACCAACCAAACAACCCCAAAACACTTAGTTCACATATACAATTTCCAAAAATTCTGTTACACTCTACACATATAGTAGTCTGTAGTCTATACTACAGAAATTACTTGTTTCTGCTGCTGGCTCTTTTTTAGGGCCTCAAGCCTCCTCTGTTTAAGGCGTTCCAATTCATCTTCATCCATTTGGTCCAGCTTCTGTAGTTCAGCATCCAGATGTTCTTCCACAACTTTGGCTGACTGAAGTATTTCATTCTCCAGAACTTTTTGAAGGATATCCACAGAGGTATCAGCAGCCATCTTTAGCTGGAAAGTGGTCTCTTCAGAGCTGTGGAAACAGGGATACAAGGAATTAGCATACAAGGAATTCACACAAACAATTTAAACTCTGATCTCTCTTTGCTTGCAGTTCATACCACAAAAAAACCAAAGTTCTCTGCTATTTGAACACAGGAGTAGTTAGCAAATAGTTCTTTTCTTTATTGCAACCCATTTTGAAGAATACTTTCATGATGAACACAGATGGCAAAGATATAAATTAAGTCCTATTATTTCAGCCCCAAAGGCAGCTACTGAAAGTGCACAGGAACCTAAAACTGCTTGTTAATATAAAGAAGAAAAATTCATCAGTTCCAAAAGGACACCCATCCTGAGCCAGATGTGCCTACTTTAACAAATATTCTGAAACAAGAAGATTCAGCTGGAAAGCTCCAAGCTGCTGGGAGGAGGGAAAGGATGCCTCAGAACAAGTCTAAGCGACGCTCAGTATGTAAGTTTGTACCAGTAGTTCAAATGCAATTACTTTAAGCCCCTCAGGCACATTAACATATATAAATCTGAATTAACACTCCTCTCCTCAGCTACAAGAAAGACAAGGTGCTCAACAGCAAATGCTCTAGGCCAATACAATGCTTTAATTAGTTCCAGAAAATTGCTATTGCAAACAGCAACCTATGGCAGCCAGCAAGAGGATTTAAAAGCCACTACCTAATTGCTGTGTGAAGAAACAGAGCCAAATAATTTTCTGTAAAGTTCTCCCTGCCCAAACACATCAAAAGACACAAAACACTAATCAGAGTGCATGAAAACTTGTGACAACACAATCGACTGTTCTCCCCAATAAACTTACACTGCAGAAAATTATCAGTGCAGTCACTGACAGTCCTGAAACGGTGACAGTGCACAGTCACCCTACTGAGACTCTCAACCTGCTGACCACAGACCTGAGCTGCCGAATTTGCGTTCCAGAGTACTCTTGGCTGTATTTCAAAGCAGGCGATCTGCCAGCGTCACTGGCTCTGGGAACACCGTGCCCACACAGGCCAGAGAAACGCTTTAAGCACGGACGGGAGAAGCTCGCAGATGAGGGCAGCAGCGCCCGGCCCGCCGCCACGCGTGTCGCCGCCACGCTCGCTCTGCCTCCCTCCTCCCAAAGCTGCTGCCCACAAAGTCTGCCTGTCCCCCACCCTTTCCTATGTTTCCAGAGGCAATGTGAACCCTGCCGGCGGCGATCAGAGGCCAGCAGGTCTCCAGGCACGGGGAGCCCCTGCCCAGCTGGGGCGAAGGGAGGCTGCCCCTCCAAGCAATCAGGGGGGAAAGCAGCACCGACCCGCCAGTCCCCACTGCAAGCCGAGCTGCCCAGCGCTATCCCGGCTCCCAAGCCGCGGAACCCGCACACGCAGCCAGGAGCCTCGGCACCGCCGGCGGGGCCGCCGTTCCGCCGCTCGGCCGGGAAGCGGCGCCGGGGTCCCGGACGAGAGGGGCGGCACACGGCGGGGACACTGCGCAGGCGCCGCGCGGCTTCCTCCGCGGGCTCGCTACACACAGCGCCGCAGACAATGCACGCACCCGGCTCAGGACGGACTCTCCAGGGGCGGGCCGCCGCCCGCCCTGCCCCGGGCTCGGTGCTGGCGGTGTCGCCGCCCGCGGCCGCAACCCGCACCCGCTCCCGGCCCCCGCCGCTCACCCTCCGCTTCCTCGCGCGCGCCGGCCGCGCCCCTCCGCCGCTATCGCGAGAGTCAGCGCGGGGCGCACGGCGCGCGCGTGGAACTCCCCCCGACGCGCTGATTGGCCGCCAAAGCGGGCACGCGCCCCTGCGGGAGGCCGCGCGCGCACCCGCGGAACTGCCCCCGACGCGCCGACTGGCCGCGGGCCCGCGCCCAGCTGGCGCGCGTGCGCCCCGTGCCGAGTACGTACGTACGTGCGTGCGTGCGTATGTGTGTGCGTGTGTATGTGTGTGTGTAGGTCGCACCTGCGGGCGGGAGCCGCGGGTTGGGGGGGTCCCACCCTCCGCGCCGCCGCAGCTCCGCCCCGAGGTGTCCCCGCCTCCGCCAGCAGCACCCGCCTGCTGGGGCGCTGCGGTTCCTCTCCCGCCGTGCTTGGGAGGGGCAGGGCTTGTCCGTGAGAGGCGGGGCAGGACACGCTCCCCGCCTCCAAGGCAGTTTCCCCTCGCGCAGGCGGGTCTGGTGGCTGCTGTGGGGTTAGTGGCAGCGTCCGCCGCTGCTCTGTGGGGAATTCCTGCTCGGGGGTGGGCGTGAGGCCCCGGCGGGCGTGTGGCGGTCGGGAGCGGCGGGGCCGGGCCCCGGAGCGATGGCGTGAGGTAAGTCACGCTGCGGGGGCTGCGCAGCTCCGGCGGGCTCACCGAGAACCGGGCTGTGCGGTCAGCTGCGGCTCGCCGTCTCTTTGCTGCTTCTGCAAGTGCGCTGGAAGATCCGCTCATATAAATAATGGAACATTAAAGCGTGGGTTTTTTTAGAAAAGAAAACAGCAGCAGCAACAACAACAAAAACCCTCAAATCACCAATCCCCCGAAAAACCCAAAATGCAACACACGTGTTCTGCTTTCTTCTTTCTTGGAAATCTGGCTCCCCGGTACTGAAGTGCGAAGACGGGGAAGGTGCGGTGGGAAGATAAACTCGGCCTTATCTGCAGTGGGCTGGAGCATGGGTGGGAGAGACTGATAAGGAGCTACAGCTGTATAAAGGCTAAGGGAAGTAAGAAGTCAGGGTGCTAGGGGGCGAAGCAATATGGAGGTGGTGATCTTGAGGCTGAAAGGTGTAAAGAACAGTGAGCCTTGCTCTGTCGACCAAAGGAGTTACGGTGGTAGGGTGATGACAACAACAGAACATGTGTAGCTCTCAAAACTTATTAAATAAATACATGAAATGATGTCTGTGCTGCCTGTGAGCGTTGTTATTTCTGCTCCATCCTGCTTTGCTCCGGAGGAAAGTGGCCACAAGAAGGTGAGGTCGCTCCTGAAGCCCCTCCGCCCCAATACGCGGTGCTTGCTGCCTCGCTTCCTCGCTGTCTCTGCGAACATCGGCCATCTCCTCCTGCCCCGCAGCAGCGGGACCCGGGCCCTCCTGTGAGAGAGCGCAGCACCTGCCCCCTGGGCTCCTTGGAGGGGAGTGGGAGGGAAAGCATTGTACACTGAGGAAATCTGGCAGCGGGGAGGGAATTACCGTACTTTAAATGCCTGGAGGGAGCTCCATTAGGTGTCTGCCATAAACTCAGTGCTGCCTCCTAGGCCCCCCTGCTAGGGAGAAGGCCAGTCACCTCAGGGGAGACGATACACTGGTTACACTTCGCGTACCAGGTAGGCGGGGAGGTGCTGGGGGTGACGGACCGGCAGAGCCCCGTGAAGGGCTGGGGGACGTGTCCTGGCCATATTCCGCACCAAAATGACTCCCTGGTCCCTGTACTGCTGCCCTGCTCCATGAAAACCTCCCCCTTAGCCTCTTCATTCCCCCACTTTGGCTGAGCTATCCCATTTGCCTCCAGGTAAAACTTTTCAAACGTGTTTGACTCTCAGTCAGGTTTCATGGCCAAACGGGCTACAATCCTTCCCGGACGTCCTGAGGCCCCTGGAAAGGCAGGAGGGCTAGAGGGAAACTACAGACTGGGGGCATCATTTAGACATTTCCCGAGGCTGCCTGAGGAGGGAAACTACAAGATTCGGGGCGTCACTCAGACGTTTTCCGGGGGCTGCCCAAAGTCCAAAGTGAGGCGAACAAGGCCGGTTTCTCGCGGCCGCTCGGTGTCCGGAGCGCCCGAGAGGGGCCGGGCCGTTCCCGTTCCCCCTCCGGCCGGCAGGGGGCGCTGGCGCGCGGAGGCTCGAGGCGCGGGCGGGGCGGGGCTGGGGGCGGGGCGAGCGCGTGCGCGGCGCGCGGCGGTGCCATATGCGCGGGGCGGCGCGCGGTCAGCGCTGAGGGGTCGCGCGCCGGTGCCGCCGCCATGGGCAAGAAACAGAAGAACCGGAGCGAGGAGAGGTGAGGGATCCGGGGAACCCCCTCCCGTTCCCCCGCCTCGCCGCAGGGACCCCCGCGCCGGGCCGCCCGCGGCGCCGTGACACGGCCCACACGGCGCTGAGTCAGGCGCCGGGCCCGGCCGGGGCTCGCGGCCTCATCGCAGGCGGGGCGCGCCAGGCCCGGCTCGGCCTGGCCGTGCGGGTGTTTGTCCGTGAAGGGGCAGGCAGCTCGATTTCCAGCTGGAAAATAGCTGCTTAGTGCAACTGAAGTGATTAAAATGTGCGTTTCTTAATTATTTTTTATCTCTCACTGGGCGTTAGTGCTATAGATCGTGCTGTGACACTCATATCTACATGTTTCGTGCGCTTGCCTAATAAATGAAAATGTTCTATATTTTAGTGGTTGGATGATAAGACCAACCACTCTGTCGCTATAGTCGCATCGTCGTGGACAATGCCCCATCTGAGAACTTTTTTGTGTCGAGGAGTTTCCTATGAAGGCAGCTGTATTAACCATATGGAATGCTGACCGAATGACATTGTGCATATATACACTAGCAGGAGAGAATGTATTTTTACTTGTCACCATAGAGTAATAATACAAAGAAACAATAAGTTCAAAGAGTGGTTTTAGTTTTTAATAGTGACAGGTAGTTAAATGAAAACTGATATCTTGAAACGTGTATGAACTAGAAACTACAACGTTTTTTCTTTGAGACATTAAATGTTTCTCCTCTGGAAGTTCTCCCCATGACAGCTGTGTCACAAAATACTATTTCATCTTTAGGAACTTATTGCTTAAGCATGTATTGATGCTTACTTAAGGCTGTTACTCTGTATCACAGTAGTGTATAAACTGTTTCAGTTTCACCGGTCCTTTCTGGGTAATGAGTGTTTTCTCAGTGAGGTATTTTCCTTTCTGTCCGTTTTTCCTGATGCCTTTTGCCATACCATAAGTGTTGCTTTTTAGTATCGTCATCATCTTGTTTCAAGGGCTGTATTTGACAGGAATAGCTCTGGTGAGGAGGGGGCAGCTCTGGTGAGGAGGTGAGCTGAGTGTGACTTGAGAAAGAAGAGGGAAGGGTTGGACATTTATGCTCTAAAGGAAAGAAGACCTGGTGCCCATCTTTGTACGCAGTTTGGTAGATGCCAAACGCATGGAAAAGCCTGTGGGTACCGAAACTCTGCTTCTTGGGGCTATTGCAGGGGTAGTGGCTGGTGTGCAGGGAGCACTGGGAGAGTCTTGGTTCCTGCTGGATACTTCATTCTCTCTTCATTCTCTGTGTGAATTGCTGAGCACGGGCCTCTCTGGTGTGCACATGTGGACACAAGATGTCTAAAAATGGAAGCCTACCTTAAAGAAAAGGTCAAGAATTTCTTGTTAGAATAGTTGAAGTCTTGACAGCCTAATTATTATTACATCGGATCTTAATGTTGCAAAAAAGAAAGAATACTGGTGCAGTTACAGTGGTTGTGCTCCCTGTTGCCAAGTCCTAAGGTCGTTGGTTTCATCCTGGTGCTGGTGTGAGCTGATCCAGAGAGCTGTCAGCATCAGGTGTCCTTCACTGGCTGTGTGTGATTGCTCATGGTTGTGGTTTCATCTTCCTGGCTCTGGGATCCACTTGGGATTGTTTTATGTGCTTGGGAATGTGGCTTTGCTCTTCACTGCTTATTCCATGAAACTCTGTGGTTAGCTACCACCATTGGTTAGCTCCACAGTCCATCCACATAAGAGAAAGGCACTGTGTATTAAATACTATTTCTTTCTTGTTTGTTATCCCTAAGGCCAGTTTTGTTCAGGCCTGTGTTTCTTTTAGCCAGTGTCTCTCAAGTTGTGGGGCGTCCTGTGCTGGGTCTGTAGGACCCATCTCTGTTTATCACATGTGCCTGTGCCTGCTGTGTCCTGTCTCTTCCCTTCCCAAGGCCACTGCTCCCACACCAGGCCTGCATTTCTCTACACTGCATTATTGTTGTGGCCTTGTGATTCTCTCATTCTGTGCAGTGACTGTTTGTCACTGATGCCATATGAAACTGCCCAGGTGAACAGCAGTAGCACCAATGGGGCATGGGCACCTGGTTAATGGGAGAAACTGCTGTCACAGCTAAATGAAGGAACAGTTGCAGCAGGTCAGGAGTTCAGCCAAAGTAAGCCTTGACAGGCTTTAGTCCCAGGTCTTGCCAGTGCAGTACCCTGCTCAGTAATTGCTCCAGCAGTGACAGGGCTATGGCAGGGAGAGGGGTGGTGTGGGAGAGTACAAACAGGCATGTGTTTGGGAAAACAGGACAGGATGGGTACACTGGCTGTGTTCTGTAGCAGGGGCTTTGAGGGATGGAAGTGAGGATGGACCTGGAAGGCCATCATGGTTTGGAACAGGTGTTACCTGCAGAGATGACTTTCATTTCCTGGGGGTCTTGGTTCTAGGTGACATCCTTGTGAGTGTCACATTCCCCTGGGAGAGAAGATGCACTGCATGTTTGCATCTGTGGCTTGAATTTGGAGTTCCAAAATCCCCCATCAGTCTCCCCTCCATTTCTGTAAAGTGAGAGAGGAATGGCCCTGTGTAATCAAAGGCTTCCAGTTGGATTTGCTTGCTGTGTTTTCAGATCTGTGCCATATAGTGCTGTACTATTTATTCCCTCCTTTTACAGTTATGTTACAGGTACAATCCCTTATGTCCTTGTTGGCTGCAGCTCCCAAAGTGTGTGGCAGCTCATGGGCACAACTCCTAGTGCAGAGGAAGCATGTGGGAAGGTGCAGGTGGTTATGTTTATGCTGTGAATATTTGTTTGAGAATCCATGTGGTGACAGGAAGGAGATTTTCTGCTTGACACACTGAGACAGATTATGTAAGGTACAAGTAATCTTTACTCTGCTTTTCTCCCCTCTTAGCTTTGCCTTCTGTAGTGGAGTTTCCTCCTCCCCTGTTTCTGCTGAGTATGGTAGTGCTCATAGCAATAGGTATTGATGTGTGTGGGGAAATGAGGCTGAGGATGAATTTTGTCTCTATGTACTTACACCTGTTTGTGTCATAAGACCCTGAGTGAGATGATAGCTGTGATGAGCAGGAAAAGAATGAAAGGCAAGACTGTAGCCTGTTATGAAAACACTGCAAATCTATGCAACAAATCTATACTATGCCAGCACCTCTGTTATGCCCTTCTGGAGCTCTGTTAGTGGCTCCTGCTGCTGTGCATCTGCCAATGAGAACATATTTATCTAGAACGGTCAAATCCATGGTGACTTTGTGGTGTGTTAGGTGCTTTCTGAAGGTGGAGAGTGTCTTGGGTAAAAATAGCTCCTAAGCCTGAATGGGGAAGTTGCTTTAATTGTTTCCTCTTCAAAATTTTTGTGTTTGTGGTGATCACTCATTTTCAAATGAAGTTTCATGGGAAATATTTCAATAAAAATATGAGAGTTCTGAGTTTTCAAGCTTTTCTAATTGAAGAGCAGGCTCTCTGATGTACAGTCTAGCTCCTTTTGGGAGGGCTGTTGTGCTTTGGTTCTTTGATATGGTGTAACAGCAGAAGCTATGTCAAGGTTCC